TGTCCGAGGTCGTAACAAAAAATACAAACTAACGAGAAGAGGCAGATCTCATTCGAGAGGCAAAATAGCAAAAGATGAATGTGTCTTTTGCCACGAGAAAGGACGTTGGAAGAAAGACTGTCCCAAGCTACAAAAGAAAAAAGGGAAAGCAGTAGCTAAAACATGTATTGTTGATAATAATGAATCAGATTATTCATTAGCCTGTGCCTTATCGGTGACCTGCAGTGACGACTCATTGTTGGACTTAGGGTGCTCATTCCACATGTATTCCAAGAAGGAGTGGTTTGCCAATTTTGAAGACGTTGACGACGGAGTTGTCTACCTAGCTTATAACCAACCTTGCCAGATAACTGGAGTTGGTTCAGTCTATCTGAAAAACCACGATGGAATGATCAAAGGGCTGATAGAGGTTCGGTACATACCGAAATTCTCCAAAAATCTCATATCAGTGGGAATCTTGGAATCTAAAGGTCATTCTATCAGCATTCAGAATGGAATTTTGAAAGTGATCTCAAGAGCACTTGTCATCATGAAAGCTATAAGGAAAATTAGCATGTATCATTTTCAGGGAAACACAGTGGTTGGCATAGCAGCAGTAGTATCAGAATCAGATAAAGAATATGAGATACTAAGCTTTAGCATATGAGGCTTAGGCATGCTGGGGAAAAATCCTTGCAAACTTTAGTAAAGCAATGGTTATTAAATGGTGCAAAGACGTGCAAACTTGATTTTTGTGAGCACTGCGTTCTGGGAAAGCAAACGTGGGTGAAGTTTGGAACAACAATCCATAACACTAAAGGAACTATGGATTACATTCACTCAGATGTGTGGACCAACCAAGACAGCTTCTCTGTGAGGAAACCATTATTTTATAACCTTTGTTGATGACTTTTTTAGGAGAATATGGATATATCCTTTGCGAACTAAAGACGAAACTTTCAGAAAATTTCTCGATTGGAAGAAAACGATGGAGAACCAGACCGGGAGAAAGACTAAAGTGCTTCGATCTGACAATGGGATTGAATATTGAAATGACCCTTTTTTCGATATCTGTAAGAATGAAGGCATCTCCCGACATTTCATAATACGGGACACGCCGCAACAAAATGGGATGACCGAGCGCGTGAAGCAGACCTTGCATGAGAAAGTTCTGTGTATGAGGTCCAATGCTAATTTGGGCAAACAATTCTGGGCAGAAGCGGTCACATATGCATGTCATCTGATCAATCGACTACCATTAGTTGCGCTTAAAGGCAAGACACCTTTGGAGATATGGTTTGGCAAGTCTGCTAATGATTATTATTCTTTATGTGTGTTTGGATCTATTGTATATTATAACGTAAGAGAATCAAAGCTGGATCCGAGGGCGAGAAAAGCTATCTTCATAGAGGTATCATCTGGCGTAAAATGATATCGCTTATGGTGCTCGGAGATGAAAAAAAAAATGATTTTTAGCAGGGATGCTACTTTCAACGAGTCTGAAATGCTGAAGAAGATAACCAAGCAACAGATGAAGGCTAACCCGAGCAGGTGGAGTGTTCTTCCAAAAAGGTGGAGTTCCACACATCTATGACCAAACTTGTAGATGGTCAACCAATTGATGATGATGATTCTTGTACCAAAAAGAATAGTCCAGAGAAATAGAGGTTTTAACCCAAGACCCTCAACAACAACAAGATTTACCAATTTCAGTTAGGAGACCAAGAAGAGAAATTCAGAAACCTACTCAATTTCAAAGTATGGTGGCCTATGCACTTCTTGTTATTGAAGAAGGTATACTACAAAATTTTCTTAATGCAGTTCATTGTTTTGACAAAGAAAAGTGAAAGAAAGCTATGGACGAGGAAATGCATTCCCTTGATGCAAATCACACATGGAAGCTAGCTGAGCTACCTAATGGAAAGAAAACAATCGGGTGCAAGTGGGTTTATGCTCAGAAAGAATGATTTCCCAATTGTAATGACGTTCGCTACAAGGCAAAATTGGTAGGCAAAGGCTATGCTCAAAATGAAAGAATTGATTACAATGAGGTATTCTCTCATGTTGTAAAATATTTCTCTATTCGTATTTTGTTGGCCTTGGTAGCACAATACGATTTAGAACTACTTCAAATGGATGTAAAGACGACGTTCTTACACGGTAATTTGGAGGAAGAAATCTACATGATTCAACCCGAAGGATTTAAGGTTGTTGGGAAAGAAGATTGGGAATGCAAGTTGAACAAATCGTTGTATGGATTGAAACAATCTCCAAGGTAGTGGTACATACGATTTGATCAATTTATGACCAGTCAGAATACACTATAAGCAATTTTGATCACTCGGTGTATTTTTGTAAGCTACCTGATGGATCATTTATTATCTTCTTCTCTATGTAGATGACATGTTAATTGCTTCGAAAGATAGATGAAAGATAAGCAGGTTGAAGTCCAAACTCAGCAAGGAGTTTGGAATGAAAGATCTCGGTGAAGCGAATAAGATTCTTGGCATAGAAATAACGAGAGATAGAAAAAGAGGCACATTATGCTTGACCCAGAAGCAATACTTGAAGAATGTACTACAACGATTTGCATGGTTGACAAAACCACACCTTTGAGTACACCACTTGCCTCTCATTTCAAAAACTTAGTGCTTCACAGTGTCTTAAAACGAAAGAGGAACGTGATTACATGCCAAATGTTCCTTATTCAAATGTGGTCGGTAGCTTGATGTATGCAATGGTGTATACGAGACCTAATATTTCACAAGCAGTTGGGATCGTGAGCAGATATATGCATGATCCAGGCAAAGAACATTGGCAAGCCGTGAAAATTCTAAGGTATATCTTGAAAACCTTAGATTTTGGACTGATGTTTCATAAAAATAACGATATTGGTTAACATATAGTTGGGTACTGCGATTCAAACTATGCAGAAGATTTGGATAAACGACGATCAACTACTGGTTATGTGTTTACTCTTGCAAACGCACCAATAAGTTGGAAGTCAACCTTACAGTCTACCATTGCTCTGTCAACAACGGAGGCAGAATACATGGTCATAACGGAGGCTGTTAAAGAGGCAATTTGGTTACAAAGATTACTAGATGACTTGGGAGTTCGTCAAAAACACATTATTGTGTTTTGTGACAATCAAAGTGTCATTCATCTAGCAAAGAACCAAGTATATCATGCTAGAACAAAGCATATAAATGTGCGGTACCATTTTGTGCGGGAAATAATTGAAGAAGGTGGAGTCAAGGTGCAAACGATTAAGACCATTGAGAATCTTGCATATATGTTGACAAATTTGTAATAAGTATCAAGTTTGAACATTGTTTGAACTTGAAAAATGTTTTAAGAGTTTGAATTTGTCATTGAAAGCACATTTGAAGGCTCTGCCATAATTTATGGCGGAAAAGTTTTGGAGAAGATCGCCAAATGTGGAGATTTGTAAGAAAAGTCAACAATTGTTGGCTCTCCTTCTATCCTACATCGTTTGGGAGATTGAGTTGCGGTGAAATTTATTCTATAAATTGATCCCTCACCCAATGTAAAAAATCATCCCACAGTACAATCTTCTTCTTCTAATTGTGTTTTATTTCTTATCTCCTCTTATAATATAATTTTGGTTAGGATATGAGGACATAGACATAATTTTGTCCAACCTCGTTAAATTTGATGTTCTTTATTTTGCTCTGGTATTTTAGTTATTTTGCGATTATTTATTGTACTTTAATTTTGTCGGAGAAATTATGTCAAAAGGACTATAAAAGGTCTAAAGAAATTGAGTTTTAAATGAACCTCGTATCTCCTCCAATTACTTTGAAATTTTCGTCAATTTTAATTGGGTACGATAATTCGCCATTTTTTTTCAACAAGTTGGCAGCGAATCATGTAAATAATCCAAATAAAAAATTGGACCCTTCTTTCTTTTTTTTTTTTTTTTTTTTTAAGGAAAAACAAAATCTTTGCAATTATACTAAACCCGAGCAGTTGAGATCCAGAGCCGGCTCATTCTACATTGAATTCTCCTAACGAGGCCACGTTAGAATGGCGAGCTTGCTTCATTCTCAATTTATCTCTTGCACGTGGACGTGCCACTTTATTCCCGTCAACAAAGTTTTATTTTTTTAAAATGAATATTAATACTTGAGTGTAATCTATTAAATATAAAATCAATATATGAGACGATAGTTTATTATTATTATTATTATTATTATTACTATTATTATTATTATTATTATTATCATCATCATCATCGTAGATAAATATTAAAAAAATTATTTATAATTTACTTCTAATTTGAAAAGTTTGCATAACTTTTATAGTAATTAAAAACTGCGATAGATTCTCATATTTTGAAAAATATTGCACAAAATTCTCTACAAATCATGCAAAATGCACTTGTGTTTTAAAAAATATTGTAGAGAAACTTCTAAAAAAAATTAAAGATTTTTATGCAATTTCTAAATTATAAAGGAGAATGATATAAAATATTCAAACTATGTGGATTATAAATAATTTTGCCTAAATAATAAAAACAAATATTTGAAAAACAACCTCGGTAATTTTATTTGTGATCATTTGTTTATATGTCTTATCAAAACAATGCGGATGAAATTTAGCAAACCCAATCAATTGATCCGACAATATAGGTTGGTCCATTCCACGAGGAGAATCCACCAACTCAATTTAAAATTAAATTTAAATATTTTATTTAAATAAATTGATATTTGTAATAAAAATTATTTATTTTTTAAAAATTTAGAGTTTGTATAATAAAAATTTAATAATAATAATAGGTTGGATGATATATATTTCATATTTTATAAATATTTATTGAAAGTTATAAATAAGAATGGAGATTGTATTAAAAAATTACATTGCAAATTGATTTGCCCGTGTTGTTACCTCTGAACAACTTTATGCAATAAGTAAATCATCCGTAATTAAGGATTAAAATGCTAATTACAGGTAATTAAATATTAGACAATTTATAATGTGACTAATTACAATCAACACTATAAGGTCCATTAGCTCTTTAATATAAAATAAAAATACTACATATTTTTTATTTTTGAAAGTGAAGATTATTCAATAAAAAAATCTGCAAGAAAAAAAAATTAATAATAAAATAAAATACTTCCTCCGTCCCATAACAAACTATCTATTTTTCCATTTTAGCGTGACTCATAACAAAGTATTCATTTTTCCATTTTAGTCAATCCCATAACAAAGTATCCATATAAGTAACTGTATTATCTACTTAACATTACAAATACCTTTACAATTTACAATATATTACACAAATATCATTGTCTTTATATAACATAATACTAATAAGATTATTTTAGTCATTTTTACTTTATTTCTACTATATCCAATATAATACTAATATTTTTAAAACTCCGTGAAAAAAGCAAACAGATACATAATTATAGGTCGAGGGAGTAATAGATATTGGTTGAGTAGAAAAACAGGGCAACCCATATTTACCCAAAATCTGGCCCTAACATAACATTTGCTTCAAGCCAAAATAAGGAAAGCATTAGAGAAACAAAATCAAGGCCAAAAAAGGGAGCTACCCATTCTCTCATTCCCTACCTTTTTGCAACTTTAAGATTTTGTACTTACCAGAAATGCAACACTAATACTACTTACTTACAAGTGTATATACAGTAGCAGTCTTCTTCAAGCTGTGTTTGTGTTCGTATCCATGTCTGTTCGATCAATCAAGAATCTCCGCTGCTCGCCATCCACGGATGCCCTGCACGACAGCCACATTACAAATTCATCGATGGAAATGAATTGGATCGATTAAAGTCGCGCTATAATGAATCTTACTCAGAACATCGGCAGCAGAGAGCCTTCTTGACGTGTCCCTGCACAGCATTCGTCGCAGCAGGTCCTTACCTTCGGAAGAAACCTTGCTGAAAATGGCCCTCGGAAATCTCAAATTCGCCCTCACCACGGCGTCAAAGATATCCCCTGCAGACTCCCCGTAAAATGGCGGGATGCCAGCGAGCAACATGTACAATATGACTCCGGCGCTCCACACATCAACCTTCTCATTGTAGTCCCTCCCAGCCAAAACCTCCGGGGCGACATAGTAGGGTGTCCCAACAATGCCCGACATAAGCTCTCCGTCCCCAAGGCACTCGGCTGAGCCAAAGTCCGCAAGCTTTAATTCATTATAGCTGTTGAATAGAATGTTATCCGGCTTGATGTCCCGATGAGCCACTCCAAGGCTGTGGCAGTGGGCAACGGCCTCCATTAACGGTACCTAATCAAGAATTTGGAAGTAAAAGAATCTAAGCATAGGGAAGACAAGAGCAAGAACAAATGAACTATAATACGAACTCAATAGTAATCAAGGTTTATTACTACGGTATGATTATTTACTTGTTTTCCCCTACCCAACCAGCATCGTAGGATATGATAAACTAAACTTTAATTCGCTGTGAGATCGAACCCATGGCCTCTTGTTGATATACAAACAATTTGCTAACCAAATGCCACAAACAATTTGATACAAATTGAAACTAAGGAAGCTATGGACGTAGATTAGTTGTAATTTGAATTAAAAATTACAGTAGTTTTGAGAAGAACAATATGTACTTAATCTGAAAAGGTTACAAATCACCAACAAGGCTGTTATTCTGCAGTTAATCTCAAATGTCAGTCTCTGAAAGTAGATTAAATAACAACAGATTCTTATTCATTAATCAGATAATAACCGCCATAGATTAGTTTCCAAACTCCCAAAATTAAGCAGAAACAGCCAAAACAGAATTGAATTCGTTTGATTTTCCATATATGCAGCATAACACATCCAAGTTTTAATCCAATCATTCACCAGTGGTAAAACAGAAATAATTACTTGTCAGGATAATGTATACGCATCAAACATCAAAAGGTGTAAAACGAGCATCAATAAACATGTTGCAAAATCGTTAGATGTTACCTAGACGATCTATTATTTAGGTTTCCTTCGAGTATAAATCGAAAAATCAAAAAATTGAACCGAAGAAGAAACAGAAACGCACCATTACTCGACGAGCCTCCGATTCGGAGTAAACAGGACGGTCGGTAATTCGCTCGAAGAGATCTCCAGAGCCACAATATTCCAACACAACGTGAAGAAACTCATCGTCCTCGTAAACATCGAAAAGGCGGACGACATTGGGGTGACCGGAGACGAGTTGCGTGAGCTTGGCCTCATTCCGAAGGCACTGGCTGTCGACGGCGTCGTCTCGGATGAGGCGCTTATCAATTGACTTCACGGCGAAGCACTCTCCGGTGGCGACGGAGCGGCAACTGGATACAACGCCGTATCTGCCCCTGCCGATCTCCTCCCCCACCCTGTAGTCTCTCTCTAGGGCCCCACTCATAACTGTACCTTTGTTTTCTCTCTCTAGATAGGATTGTTCAGTACGTACGGTGGAAGGGTAACTATATATATATATATATATGAAAATAAGTGGAAAAGATAGGTAGTTTATAGAATCCGAATATTCGGGTAAAAACTGTGAACCAATAGGATTCTGACGCGTGTCAAGAGATATTAACGGCGGATTTAACGGGGTTTAGTTCCAGGAGATTTTGGCGCCCCCGCCTGCAACATAACATAGCCAAACAAGAACGGACTTGTTTTAGGCTTGGTTTGCAGGGCATTAGGTTTCGCCGGGGGTTTACTCATTGGGCATTTTCAGATAGCGGCTGCGGGTTCCCACGTCATAAAAAAAAAAAAAAAAAAAACGGGCGTGTTTGTTTGTGGTTTTAAAAGATCTTTGTTTGTTTGGAGATTGGATTTTAAATATACTATTTATTCCATTTTTTTTCCCAAAAATATCAAATTAAACATCTATTTTTAATTTTTTATATTATACTAAAAATCAATTTTACATTCAAAACATCACATCAATACCTATTTATATCACATCATACAACTATTCAAATTCAAAATTTTTACTATTCAAATCCCAATTCAAAATCCAAACCCCGAACAAACACACATCTTAAATTAATCGATCTCTAGTAACAGGGTATTTGCTGTAATAATATTGAATTAGTTAATAATAAAGTTAGATATTATTTTATTCATTAGATAATTAATAAAGTTTTAAAATAAATTTAATATATATAATAAAAAAAATTAGTATGTATTTAAATATTTTAAAAATTATATTGCAATAAAAAATATATTTAATATGAATATAATTTTATCAAGAATATTTTTTTTATAATACAAGTAAATAAAAAATACGTTTGCATAAACTAATTTTACAAAAGATGCGAGATTTTAAATATAAATAAAAATATATATTTTTTTTAAAGAAAGATAGAAATAAAGAGGTTTTGAATGTGTCGTATATGATGTATATGTGATTTAGTTAATTAAGTTGATTTATATTTATTAAGTATATTTTAATTTAGTAAATTTTACCCAAAATAAAAATATGTCAATTGTTATAGGATAAAAAAAAAATAAAAAATGTGTTAATTGTTATGAGACGAATGGAGTAAATAATAATTTTCTTTTCATTTTAATTCCTTCCATTTTATTTTATTTTTTATTTGGTAAAACCTATTCAAAATATATTTAACAAATATAAATCAAATTAAATTAATTCTAAAATATAACATCATAAATAATGCATAACTCACTCAAAAGCTCTCTGGTTCTATCTCTTTAATAAATAAATATTTTTCATTTATATTTAACACATTCTATCTTTTATCAAAATTAATTTATATTAATTATAAATAAATTAGTGTATTTTTATTTTTATATTATATAAAATTTATTTCTATGCAAAATGACATGTATTCAATATATTTTATTAAAATATAATTTTGACAGAAGTGCCTATATCACATTTGTGATTTAAAAATTTTACATCATCCTACTCTATTTTATATATGTGTATTATCCCTTTATATTTTTTAAAATCATGTCCACTCTCTCCTTTTAACATTGTTAAATAACAATATTTTTTTATTTGACCATTATACCCCTTAATTAAATTAGTCTCCTCCTTATTTAGAGACGTTAAAATAGGTTGAGTCCGTCCGGTTGGCCCCGCCCCGCCTTATTTTTAAGGAGGGTTGAGTTGTGATTTTTTAAATCCGTTAAAATACGGGCCTAAATGAGCCAAACCGCATGGGCCGCGGGTTGAGGGTGGGTTAGACCGTAGTGGGGCGGTTAGCCCGCGGGTCAAATAAATATAATAATTAGTACTCACTCGTCTAACTAAATGTATTTTTTTACTATTTTTTACTGTCATATTAAAAAGTTATAATAAAACTAATCAAATTTTGATATAAAAATATATTTTAATTTTTATATATTACAAACATACCATTATAAAATAAGTTAAGACGAATAAAATAAAATTTATATTATCATTAGCTTAAACAAATTATCAATATTGTCTACAATTTTTTTTCTCTAACTATGTTATTCATGACATTGTTATTTGTTTCGATTTTTTATCATTTGTTTTGTTTATTTTCCATTTTATTATTTTATAATTTTAAAATTAATTATGATTTATTTTTAAAATGAAGTATTTCTTATTTTTAATTTTTTTAAATACACCAATTAATATATTTAGAATTGAGAATTTTTATATTTTTTATTTATTTTAAAATATTTATTATTTAAATTCTACAATAAAACTATTTTTAGCTATTTTTAAATATTAATTACGAAAATATTTATAATATTAATATATTTTTTAATATTTTTAAAAGCCCGTAGGCTAGCCCGCTTAACTCACCACCCGCTGGTGGGTTGGGTTGGACTGATGAAATTTTGATCCGCCCCGCCATGGGTTGGCATGCAAACCCGCTTATTTTCGGGTTATGGTGGATTGTGGGCTAATCCGCCTCACTAACCCGTTTTGACAGGTCTATCCTTATTATTCCCCACACCATCCCTCATGACCACCCTCCCTCCACAACCATTCTCACTACAACGACAGCCAATTCAAAGGTTCGGTATCCTTTTTCACCCAACGACACCACAAATCAGTGGCGATTATTCCATTTCAATTTCCCCTGTCGATTTTTGGCCATGTACGGAGCTATCCAACCTATTCATCGGAACTTCTTGCCCGATTAAGAAGAGTGTTAATAAACTCACTACATTCTTGTAAGTCATGGGTTAAATCGCATTTATTTCAAACTCATTGTATGTTTTGTGATATCCATTGACGATGGATTCAGTATTTTTGGTTCTTTTCTATGAATCATTGGTAGCGGGTTAAAGCTAAACCGGGTTGAGAAGTTTATTGATTTGCCATATATGCTGATTTGGGAGTTCGATTAGTGCATTATTTGTGCCTTTTATATATTTTCATTGGTGGATAAAAAATTAAAAAAAATCTTGAAGGTGGCACGGCATGTTTGATTAATATATTGTTTCATTATGTTACTTGAATTTTTGTTCTTGTCGGGTTGATGTCGGAAAGTGTACTATTGTGGGGTAGACCACCTCTGGTTCAATTTGTAGATTTTATCTCAATGAATTTGTCTTGGTTGAGCAATGTTTTCCCACACCATTGGTGTCACGTCTTTTTCTCGACGAGGACCAAAAGTGATGTTTTAGTCAACATGTTCAAGTCGTTCAACTAGTATATAATGGATTCCAGAGACCTACCGATCGTTGATATGTTTGAGTGGATAAGGTAGAACTTGATGGTTTGAATAATAACAATGCATTCGTGGATTGAGAAGTTCAATAGGGTTGTTTGCTCAAACATTGTCAAGAAAATCGACAACAGTGGATTAAGTCCAGAAACTATTTGCATCGTGGGGAGGTGGAGACAATTTAGAGGTATTGTATTATCTTCAAAATCGTGTGGTTCAGCTGCATAATAGGACTTGCACCTATGGGATGTTTCAAGTATGTGGATACCCCTGGTACTATGTTATGACAGCGATCGATCACCACTAACTGAATGTGGATATGACCCGTTTGGATTGGCTTAAAAAATAAGCATAAACCAAATGCATAAACATATCGATTTTATGTTTGGATGAATAATTGTAAAAGCATTTTTTTATAAAAAACTATTTGGATATAATAAGTTGAAAGTGTTTTTAAACTGTTAAAATTACCAACTAAGAAATAGTAATGTAAATATAATTTTTTTATTACACTTTTCTAATTAATTTTAGAATTTTATAAATTATATTTAAAAATTTTAAATTATCCATTCTAATTGAAAATATATTTATTCAATTTTATGTATAAATTATCTTTTTATTTTTTTTATTTTTCTATAAAAATGAAAATTAAAAATATCACTAAATTTAAATAAGTTTTATTCTACAAATTATTTTAACTTTACAAATTATATTTAAAAATATTAAATTATCTATTATATAATTAAAATTTTATATTTTTAAAATTTGATATTTTCAATTATATATTTTAAATTTAATAAAAATAAAATATATAAATTAATAATTAAAATACAATTATATTTAAATTTTATATAAATAAGTTATTTTTATTTTTATTTCTTCTCATTTATTTAATTAGTTATTGTTGTTATTATGATTATTATTATTATTATTATTATTGTTATCATGGTTAAAATTGTAGTTTTAATAGTAAAACTGCTTCTACTTTTTCTAAAAGCACCACCTAAGGTGCTTCTCAAAAAAACACTTTTGGAACTTAAAATTTGTATGCATTTGAGAAAAGCCAATAATAGAAATAAATGTATTTTTTTGTTTACAAACAGAAGTCAAAAGCACTTTGTACAAATCAATCCAAACGGGGCCTGTGTATATACCTCCTTTCGAAGGAGACATATGCACGGATATACAACCACAACATTAACCCCGTGTCAGGCATACATAAATAAGAAAGCCATATTGGCCCGATCGATCCCCTAGAAAGAAAATCACAATGAATGACCAAAAGAAGCAAAGAGATGTGATAGAAATGACAAAAAAACACGAAAAAGGCTTCAAGGACTGGATTAACGACTACATGTCTGAGGTGTTTGCAACAATAACATAATAGAAAACGAGCAATAATGTCCTATTCTCTAAAAAGGTAGTTTGATGTTCCATTCCAAAATATATGGTTCTGAAACCCATTATTTATATATATATATATATATATATACATAAAAAAAAAAACATCGATGAACTAATTTAAGTTTAGTGTTGCAGATACCTACGCCAAATTCAACTATCGATGCAACGGTGAGTCATAACACTCCAGCAACTCTAGCCCTCTGAAAGGTTGACGTAGAATCGAAGGGGGTGGTTCACGTTTTTTTATGCCCAGATGAAATAGATATTTAATCAAAGGAAAATTGCAGTACCAAAGTATTCTTGCTTGCTTAGGAACCTAAGGAACTTGTCTTAGACCCCCTAAGTCGAAACAAAGACAACTCGAATGAATATGCTAAACCCCTGCGAAGGTTGGAAGCAACGAACCTGTGGACTTAACCAAAGACCCGATTTGATGCATAAACCAAAGTGCAAGGAATCGCTCTCAAACACTTAGTTTAAAGAAAGAACTAAAGTTCAAATATATTCAAAAACAAGGATGCCCAAATTACATCTAAATTTTTCCTTTTATAGACAAGGGAAAATAAATGCAAAAATTGGAAATTATTACATTCATTCTAGGAAATAGTTAAAACAAATTAATGCAATCAACCTAGGAAACATAATAGATTCAATGCATTCAACCTTGGACCTTTAAACTCATCTTGGAACTCCACATCCTCATTGATGTCATCTTGAAAATCCACTCTCATTGATGTCATCTTGAAAATCTACCCTTATTTATGTTGTCTTGGAAATCCACCACCATTTAAGATTTTTGGAAGTTCAACAATATTTAATTCTTCTTGAAATTTTCACTAATCTCATTGGAAATTCAAGTAGCATTAAATAAATTATTGATTGGACTTCTCTAGTGGGGCCAACGAAAATGCACCTTATTGAAGTTCGCCTTGATCTTGGCTCGGCTGGATTAAAATCAGCTTGGGCGAAAGAGGCCTTCATGCCTGTTTTTTGAATGTATTTTCTTCGTCCAATTGAATTGCTAAGGCTGAAACTTGATCTTGAAATTTTCGTGCTTTGCTCCGAGTTATTGGTCCCGGGGGTAGTTGAGGTGCTTGCATGGTTTTGCTTAAGACGGCCTCGTCAAAGGTAGTGCAGACTCTAACTCAATATTAAATAGCAAAAACTTTATCATAAAGAAATGAGTGTTTTGGATTGACTTGTTTGTAGAAATGTCAAAGGATACTGTGATGGACAATAATGTTTCCATAAATGAATGAACCACTTCGGCGGGAACTCAATCATAGGCACAACAGGTACCTGTTATGTTTAACTCTCAAACTTTGAAACTATTTGTATATATTTACATTGTAATTTTACCTGTATTGGTGAATAGGGATAAGCAGCACCCCGACAAAGGGAAGCAACTAATAACATTATTGCAGAGGCCGTCTCTAATGTTGCACTTGATAAGTTTTCGATTATTCAAAATGCCACAAAATCATTGGGGTGGTGGTTCATAATTTTTCAATCAGATGTATAGCTTATGTTGTCAATTGGTTGTATTGCTTTTGGTGGTTTTGTATTTTTTTTATTATTGTAATGTGGTATGTTATATTGCCCGCACCATGTTATGTTGTTTTACTTTTGGTGGATTTATTTTTTGAAGTTTGTTTAATACAACATGAATGTAGAACCGTAGTATTATCATATTATGGAATGTTGTGACATCAACTATTTATGAAAGTATTCTATTATGTATGAAAGTTTTTTGTTATAAATATGGATATATGGCAAAAATGTGTTTGAGCAAGCTGTGCAATTGAGACATATACTAATTTAACATCATGTTTGTTGGTTGAATTGATGATACATTATTCTTATTCACTATTGAGACAACAACATGATACTATTCAAACAGAAAGGTTGCCAATTAAGAAAACAATATGATGATTATTCAAACAAAATACTTACTAGTTCAACTCAAAGATGCATGAATATGACACCGACCAACAATATGTCAAACAATATTACATCAATCAGAACATATTGTTCGACCAAGACTCAATCAATTAGAACGCAATTTTGACCAACACTACATCTAATGACACCCTAATGAGCAGCAAAACATCATCTAAAATGCAATTTTTAACAACGTAATTACAATCACAACAACAAAAACAATCTGAATGATTTTTAGTCTGCTTGCACAACCTTCAACCTGGCAATAATGTGTGCATTCACAACCTTAATTTCCTTGAATTCATCAACTAAATACAAAAAAAGGGTTAACTTCAGCCTCTCCATGCATTTTGTGCTCCCAGTAACTGGTGTTGAATGTTTCTCGTCAACAAAAAAAAAAAATCAGAAACCTCCATCCTACAGTTGTAAAATAATTTACTTTCGGTATCTTTTGATGGATCAACTACATATATCATAGCTAGTACACTGCATCAACACTTTAGGCATTTGCACCTCAAATCAAAATTCATTTTTTTTTCACGTAGAAATTATTGATGTTTGTAGATATTTGCGGGTTGACAATGAGTTGGGTAAACTAGAAAAAAAATAAAAAATCGCTTTCGCAATAACAAATCTTCTTACTGGCTTGTCAAATTGAACAATTGCACCAACATTAGCAAGACTCCTACTTTTGTATAATTCAAGTAAACTACCAAATTGAAAAGTACACTTTAAATCTCAAATGTTTTTTTTATGTAAAAGTAACTGACAGAAAGAATCAAAAACGAACATAGCTCGAGTCGAAATATAAACACCCAAGTAAACATAACGTAAAAATTCAGGCCTGAATTGAAAATTAAACATTTGAAAAACAAATTTTTGATACAAACATATTATGCGAAGTCGAAGGACACTTAATCAGATACAAACACGTTGTGCAAAGCCGAAAACTACAGAAAAGAAAAAATATATATAAACATCGATCTTCTTTCGATACTACCCAACAAATTACGGATACAAACACTTACCTAAATTTGGTTGGGAAACCGAAGTCGAACTTAGGATTCTTACTCTTCTATCTTACACTTGTGCGAAGTCGATGAACACTTACGCGATCTGAGGTATTTAAGATGGGTTGAAGGGTAAAATGAAAAATTTAGGTTGTTTTTATGAAGTAAACAGAAAGATACTCTCATCATCCGCGTAATATCCACCTCTGTTAAGTTCAAATGTCTGGGGTTTAAATGCATTGTTTTAAAAAACACAAAGGGAATAACACACAGTTTATAAAGTATAGGGGGAGAATGACGTTGAGTTTTTAAATCACGGATATGTTAAGGGCACTTTTGCCTATAATTTTTAAAATATGTGAATACATATTCTTAATTTTTTTTAATCATATATATTAAATTTATATTATAAAATTATAATAATATCACTCACATAAAATAATAATAATAATATGGATATTATTTTGTAGTGAATAAACAATTATATATTACAATTAAATAAAAAAAATATTTATAATAATTAACATAAATTAAATATTTTTAAATATAAAAGTATTAAATATAAATAAAACTATTTATTTATCGTAGAGAAAAAAAAAATAAAGGAGTTTTTAGTGTGTTAAACATAAGAAGTTAAGAATTTAATTAAGTTGATTGATGAAATAAATAAAAATAAAGAAATTTTGTTTGAATACTACATATGAGCTATTAAAAATTTAATTAAATTAATTTATATTTATTAAATATATTTAATATTGATAAATTTATTAGAAAATAAAAAACTATCAAATAAAATGAAATAAATAAAAATAAAAAATTATGTCAATTAAAATTAAATGAAAAATATATATTAAAAATAGCTTAAAATACTATTTCTCCGTCCCACTTATCATATTTACCTTTCTATTTCTGTATGTTCCATTTATTTTATAATTTTTATAAAAAAATAATTATACACTTTAATTTTATTTTATATTTTTTAATTTATATATATATTTTTAATTTTAATTAGACTAATTAGTTATCTTAATTTATAATTATTTTTATTATACGATAATTATTTTCATTAATACATTTTTAATTATTTACTAATTATACCTTTAAATTTTCGTATCTACCGTAGATATGGGACATGATAACGGACGGAGGAGTATTCAATTGGATGAACAATTCATTAAGATTTTATTGTTATACACGTAGCACCCACAAAGGTCCTACGTAATCCATATGTATGCTTTTACTTTCCTTCGTGTTGGAGTTTGTTTACCTATAAATATGTCCGTGAATGAAATGGAATGAATACACTTCATTTTTTACTCTCAACCTCCATCTCTTTCTATGTATAATTATTACTATTATATAATATTATATATATTTAATATACAAGCACCCACACAACTTACATATTGATATATATGTCTTATCTATTATATATATAATATATACAAAATATAAAATATTGGTTAGAGGTAGAAATAATTAATATTTTTATTGGCTAATCCTATAATAATATTATAACAAGTTATCAGTACGATTATATATTTTAATTTCCTCAATGTAATATTTTATATTTTATCTGTTTATTATGTCTAACTTTGCTAAACAGGAATTTCTCCCTCTTCTCGTTTCTGGCCAAAATTATATGGCATGGGCTCGCGATGTTAAAATGCATCTAGCTTCAATGGGTTTGGAAAATACCATTGTCCGGGATAAAAATTCCCCAAGCCAAGATCGTACAAAGGTCATGATCTTTTTGTGCTATCACATCGATGAGACACTGAAAATGCAGTATGTCACGCTAGAATCTCCACTTGAATTGTGGGAGAGATTGAAATAAAGATATGATCATTTGAGGCTGACATTGTTGCCAAGGGCACGAAGCGAATGTCAAAGCCTACGGCTTCAGGATTTTAAAACAATCCAAGAATATAATTCTGCAATGTTTAAAATAACATCACAGCTGCGCCACTGTGGCGAAAATATATCTGAATCTGATATGATGGAGAAAACTTTATCCATTTTCCATGCCTCTAACATGGTTTTGCAGCAGCAGTATCGCGAAAGAGGCTTCCAGAAATATTCTGAGCTGATCACCTGTCTTTTGTTGGCCGAACAAAATAATGAATTGCTGTTGAAAAATCACGAATCTCGGCCGACAGGTGCAAATCCATTTCCAGATGCAAATACAATACAACCGGCAAATCCGGTGTGTGGCCGTGGACATGTCAGAAATCAAATAATTGATCGTGATCAAAATCAGAATCGCGGACGGGGCCGGACAAACGCATACAATCACAATAATTTTCAGAACAGGCCCCGATATGTGCCAAATCGGTGTTATAATGACAGAAGGTCGTACAGACGTAAACAAAGGTTTAACACTGGGAGAAAAAGAAACAATGACGAGGAATGCACCCGGTGTGGAATCAAAGGCCATTGGGCCCATGTTTGTCGCACAGCCAGTCACTTGGCTGAACTGTATCGGGCCTCAAAAGAAATGCAGGGAAGAGTTGCTGCCGAAACAAACCACGCTGCCCATGATGACACATTTGACGATGTGATGAATGAAAAAATATCACATACCTGGATGTCGATGATCTACTTGACATAGCTGATGATGTTAAATGATAAAATGTTGTTGTATCTCTTTTGTTATTTTGATGCTTTCTGCCCCCTGTTTTGTATTACCCCCTATAATATAAGTCTATTTTGATTATGTTACTAATACATGTCTTTTATTATTTTTACCTTCTTGCAAAGATATGCATGTCAAATATTTTGGAGCCGATGACAACATCTGCCTTATCGACAGTGCTACGAGTCACTGCATTCTGAAAAACAAATGTTATTTCTCCCACCTGAATATGGGAAAGACCACTATTGTTACTATCAGTGGGGCATCGAAAATGATTGAAGGCGCAGGAAAAGCTATTGTATATCTTCCAAAAGGGACAAAGCTCGAAGGAATTTGCTGAGCTTCAGTGATATTCGGAAAAATGGGTATCACATTGAAACATTAAATGAGGCAGAAAATGAGTATCTCCTAATTACTCATATTGTGAATGGCAAGAGAATTGTGAAAGAAAAATTGCCATCATTTTCTTCCGGCTTATATTACTTAAAAATCAATGCCATTGAAACATATCACCTAGTAGACCAAATGGCTACTAACAAATTCAAAACTTGGCACGATCGACTTGGGCATCCTAGCAATGTAATGCTGAGGTGAATTGTTGAAAATTTAAATGGCCACTCATTGTAAAAGGAAAATATTTTGAGTCCGAATGAATTTGCCTGTATTGTCTGTTACCAAGGGAAGTTAATAATCAGGTCATCTTCAACAAAGGTTGGATTTGAATCCCCAACTTTTCTAAAAAGAATTCAGGGTGATATTTGTAGACCAATAGATCCACTGTGTGGACCTTTCAAGTACTTTATGGTACTAATCGATGCGTCAACGCGATGGTCACACGTGTGCCTATTATCTACTCGCAATCTAGCTTTCTCTAGAATACTTGCACAAATAATTAAATTGCGAGCACAATTTCTAGATCACCCAATAAAGAAAATACGTCTAGATAATTCTGGAGAGTATTCATCACATACATTTGATGATTACTGCATGTCAATTGGGATTACTGTGAAACATCTTGTTCCCCATGTACATACGCAAAATGGCCTGACTGAATATCCTATCAAAAGATTGCAATTAATTAATAGACCATTATTAATGAGGTCTAAACTTCCGGTATCATGTTGGGGACATGCTATATTTCATGCAGCAACCCTTGTGAAAATAAGACTGACAAGTTATCACTGTTATTCCCCTACTCAATTAGTTTCTGAAAAAATACCAAATATATCTCACATGCAAAATTTTGGGTATGTTGTTTATGTGCCAATTGTGCCACCTCAACGCACGAAAATGGGACCTCAAAAAAGGTTGGGTATATATGTCGGGTATGAATCACCCTCGATTGAAAAATATTTTGAACCAACAACGGGTGATTTATTTACTGCAAGGTTTGCATACTATCATTTTGATGAATCTCATTTTCTGACATTAGAGGAAGACAGTAATCAACTGAAAAAATAAATTTCATGGAAAACACCACTTGAATTTGATCCTCGTACGAAACATAGTGGACTTGAAGTTCAAAGAATTGTGCATTTGCAGAAAATTGCAAATCAATTGCCTGATGTTTTTAATGATGCTGCCAGAGTTAAAAAAATCATATATTGCAGCAGCAAATGCACCAACTAAAATAAATATCCCAAAAGGGAATGTGCTGAGTGCTAATGAGCATACTGCTCGCGTAAAACTTGGCAGGCTGTTGGGTTCCAAGGATAAGAATCCACGAAAGAAAAAAATTGTAAATACTGGTGAAGAGATCAACAATGATCATATACCTGAAAAGGTCAGTACAACCCCTGAAGAGGTTGATACTAAAAATTCTGATGAAAGTGAGGATGAAGTTATAGAAACTTCTGTTAACTATACCACTAGTGGAAAATATTGGAACAGAAAGAAAACAAATATTGATAATGCATTTGCATATTCTGTAGCACTCGATATAATGAAATGTGACGAGGATTATGAATCAAAATCAGTTGATGAATGTCGGCAAAGAGATGATTGGGCAAAGTGGAAAGACGCAATTAAGTCTGAATTGGACTCATTGAATAAACGGCAAATATTCAGACATATAGTCCAAACACCTGAAAATGTGAAACCTATTGGCTACATATGGGTATATGTGAGGAAAAAAATGAAAATAATGATATCACAAGATATAAAGCAAGGCTTGTAGCCCAGGATTTTTCCCAGAGACTGGGCATTGGCTTTGAAGAAACATATTCGCCGGTCATGGATGAAATAACATTCAGGTATCTGGCGAGCCTGGCAGTACACAATAGTCTTGATATGCGATTAGTATATATGATTACTGCCTATCTTTATGACTCCTTAGACAATGATATCTACATGAAAATCCCAAAAGGGATTCACATACCTGAATCATTCAAATCAAAGCCAAAAGAATAATATTCCATCAAATTGCAAAAATCTTTGTATTGGCTCAGCAATCAGGTCGAATGTGGTACAATCGTCTCAGCGAAAGTTTAACAAAAGAAGGTTACATAAATGACTCTATCTGTCCATGTGTTTTCATAAAGAAAAATTGATCAGAATTTGTACATCGTTGTATATGTCGATGAAAATGGGTCAGAATTTTCAGAAAGCTGTTGAATATCTGAAAAAGGGGTTTGAGATCAAAGATTTTGGAAAAATCAAATTTTGCCTTGGTTTGCAAATTGAACACTTGAAAAGTGGAATCTTTATCCACCAATCAAACTATACCAAAAGGGTATTGAAACAATTCATGATGGATAAATTACATCCGCTAAGTACCCCAATGATCGTCAGAGCACTCGATCCAGCAAAGGATCCATTTAGACCAAAAAAGGAAAACGAAGAAACACTTGACCCTGAAGTGCCATATATGAGTGCTATAGGTGCATTGATGTATCTTGCTAATAGCACCCGACCTGATATATCATTTGCTGTAAATTTATTGGCAAGATTCAGCTCATCTCCTACTCAACGACATTAGAATGAGATTAAATATATTTTTCGCTATCTCCAAGGAACAATTGATCTCGGGTTATTGTACTCAAAAAATTCTCGACATAAATTGATTGGTTTTGCCGATGCAAGATATTTATCTGATCCTCATAAAGCCAAGTTTCAAACTGGCTATATATTCACTTGTGGCGAAACAGTGATCTCTTGGAGATCGATGAAACAAACTTTAACTGTTACTTCTTCAAATCATGTTGAAATATTGGCAATACATGAAGCTAGTCGAGAATGTGTTTGGTTGAGGTCAATGACTCAACATATTCTGAAAAAGTGTGGGTTAATACCTAACAATAAAATTCCCTCAACTAATTGTATGAAGATAGTACGGCTTATATAGCCCAATTGAAAGAGGATTACATTAAAGGAGATAGAACGAAATATATTTCACCAAAATTCTTTTTTACTCATGATCTTCAGCAGAATGATGAAATTGATGTGCAACAAATTCGATCCGATAATAATTTAGCGGATATATTAACCAAGGCATTGCCGACGGCAACATTTGAAAAACTAGTGAAGAAAATTGGGATGCGTCGGTTAAGGGATCTCAAATAATGCTCAGATCAGGGAGAGCGAATCAATACAAGAATGTTGTACTCTTTTTCCTTCACTAGGATTTTTTGTCCCACAGGGTTTTATCCTAGTAAGGTTTTAACGAAACACATTCTCTGTATAAAAACATCCAAGGGGGAGTATTATACACGTAGCACCCACGAAGGTGCTACGTAATTGATATATATGTTTTTATTTTCTTCATGTCGGGGTTTGTTTGCCTATAAATATGTCGGTGAATAAAATAGAATGAATATACTTTATTTTTTACTCTCAACCTCCTGCTCTTTCTACTGTTCTTTCTATATATAATTATTACTATTATATAATGTTATATATATTTAATACACATGCACCCACATAATTTCTATATTGATATATATATATATGTTTTATCTATTATATATATATTATATACAAAATATGAAATAGTGATTAGCGATATAAATAATTAATATTTTTATTGGCTAATTCTATAATAATATTATAATATTTATGATATTTTTAATGCATTAATTAATACACAGCTTCCATATAAGGAACTGCGACAAACGGAGTTACCTGACGGCAACAAATTCACTTTCCTACGGAACCGCCGATTCGAGAAATCCGTACAGGTGAAAATTCATGATTCGCCATATCCAATCCTCAATCAAATCGCCCCTAAACTTTCGCTTAATTACGATACCACCACTTCTAGAAGCATACGTTGGAAGGGTTTCACTGCTACGCATGGTCCACATGCACTTCGTGTTTGCGTAAGAACATTAATAGACTCCCTGCGAGGTCCCGCGCCAGATTGATCTCCACCGTTCACTTTCCACAATTAATGTCATTGATTGATTTGGCTCCGAGATCCCAGGATCTTCTAAAATTGGAATGGCACAATCAACCTTGTCCACTTGCGTAGGGGCATGATTTGTTAGAATAAAGGCATGAAACAACGTTGATTGCTTTGCTTCCATTAAAGAATAATAATCCCTCAGTTCCAATCAAAAGATCTTCTTTTTTTTTTTTTTTTTTTATTTTGTAATATATTAAAAAATAATAATATTTTATTAGTTAGTATAAGTGTATAAAAAATTTTGATATTTTTTATCCTTTTAATTTTATATATAAAATAATTGTATGTCTAATAACAGTATATCTGTAATTTAAGTAAAAAGTTAAAGAGTATTTTAACATTAGTTTATGATTATTTTTTTAAAAAAAAAATATATTTTTAAATGAAACAAACAAAAATGATTAAAAAGTACATATATTTTGAGTTGACAAACAAGAAGTGTCACTTAGTTCATCCTATTAGATATAACCGTGTAGTGTGAGAGTAAATTCATAAGGGTAAACTCATATATTCAAACTCCTACACAATCAAATTATTTTTTTACTAAACTACATTTAATTTTAAAATATCAATA